TGGATGAGGCATCCACTCTGGATTGGGTACCATTAAGGTTCCCTATTTCCAGAATTGGATAACCTCATAGGTACCCAAAAATGGGTGACTGAAGTGGCACAGGCTATGTGGCAAAATTTAACGAGACTTGTTATTTGCTGAGAGATCGATAACTCAGGATTGATGAAAGGTTCCACTAGCACCTCAAGCATTTCACCAAGAAGAGAGAGGCCGCGATAAGTGCTACACTCTGATGGATCAAAGTCTGTCAGGTTGAGATTACGAATGTCCGCCGAGAGTTTGAGAAGCTTTATTGCTTGGGGAACATCTTGGGCATCTTTGGGACTAAGGAGAGTGTGGATGTGCTGAAGGATGGAAGATTCGGGGTTAAGGAGGGAATATATGCCGTTGTCGGACCAATCAACATTGGTTAGCCTTTCGAGCCACAGGGCGAGGAGCCCTTTGTTGATAACGATGCCATCAATAAGGATCCCCTCTCATGCACAAAGGCACTTGCATATCCCTGGAGAGAGGTCAGAAAATTGACTTGTGAGATTATGAAAAGGTTTGGCATCCTTGAACATCGTCTCGATGTTCGCAAGGAGGTCGACCATCTTGATGAAGCCAACTGAGATTCGAAGTCGGAAATCATGACAGTGGTCAAGGACTGTCATCCGTGATGGAAAAGCGAATGAAGAGTTGTGGAGTGCATGGAGGGCTGCACCACCACCCAGCTTGTATATTGCAGTTGCGAGGTCAAGCTTGAGCTCGCTATAGTTTCGTGGGCAATACTCTCCTGCCAAAGCCATCTGGATCATCTTCAACAACCTCTCTGCACTCCAATTGCAAAGCTTGGCATTTTTGAAGATTCGCGGCAGGCCAGGAACATTGTGGGTGCCAACAAGGCTGAGAAGTGTATCCCAGGTTTCTTTGTGAACACAGAGCCGCAAAAGTGCTTTGCGTATATCCAGACGCTGTCCATCGGTTAGAAAAAGAGAATCCGAGCACAATAAACAATGCACTTTGAGTGGCTCCTGCTTTAACTTCTTTTCAGTTGAATAAAGTCTTTGTATGAGCTGACTATGGCTCATGGTGTTGTGAGAAAGCCTCCCAGTAGATGTGCGGGCACGACCAAGAACAATTCTGACAAGCAGAATCATTGTTTGGCATATGAACACAAGACGCCCAGGTACGGTGATGCACCAGTACAAGACAGAGAGTGAACATGTATCTGACAGGTGGCAGGATCAACGGAAAGAAGGACATAACCAGGTTTGAAGCGAGAAGTTGGATCATGG